TTACTCTTTATATATATATATATATATATAATTTTATATTAATACAATGTGATTTGATACTTCATTCTTATAAAACAAAATTAATGTAATATGTAGATTTCAAAATATAATAAAATATGAACAATTTGATTACCTTCAAGTTGTTGTTCAATTTTAATAAAATTTGATATAAACATATAAAGTGACATGAACTTTCAATCTAATGGATAAAATTTCAATATTTTTTTATATGTAAATGTTAATATGTTGTTTTATTTAATAAATTATTTTTCGTGTGTTTTTTATTGTACAAAATTTATATATTCACAAGGAGTAGGAAATGGCATTTTGCAGAAGATACCACATCTGACATGTTTATTTACCAACAAGGCATGTGTAACTTATTGTCCAACTTATGTGACATACTTTAAATCGATCAACTAAATTATTCTTTTGAAGGTAAGAAGGTAATTGATGAACAACAATATTATCAATATTGTGGGTTGATTGTTAGCAATCGAGTTAGGAGTCATGTTGGTTTCGATAAATATTCTACAAGTGACTTTGATGCACACGAGGATGTAGCTGTATTGTTGATTTAATGATTGTTAAGCAAATGTCAAAAGAAAATTCGTGATTTCAATTACTATAATGTTCAATTATTGGAACAACAACTTCAACAAGTCATGAATGAAAAATTAGGGCTTGAGATATAGTTGACAATCATAACAAATGAACTGGAGGAAATGAAAATCGTGCTGGAAAGGCAAACAAGTGAAGCAACAACAATCTTCGTAGTTGTTCATGTAGTCGAGTCTATTTAGAAATTAGGCAACCCTTGTTTTAGATGTTTAATTTTTAAGTGTAAGTGTTGTTTTGTTAAGTAACATTTGATTACCCTTTTAGATGCACTAACATTAATGTTATGTTAATTAATGTCAATATAATACTATTTTATGAGTTTTAAAATATGTTTCCAATTCATATTCATATCAGCATAACATACATATCAACATAAAATAAATGCTTGTTTAATAATAATAATAATAAATTAAAATTAGTTTCTCAATAAATTTCTAAATAATCAAAGTAACTTAGTGTGTATAAAACAAATAAATAATTAATACACACAAATATATTTTAAATTAATTAATTAATTTTAAAAAATACTAACCTAATTAGAAGTACAAAAATATCCAAATCATTTAAATTTAAATAGTTAATAATGTGTAGTTTATTACCTTATATTTTAGTATAATTATAAATAACTTTTAGAAACTGTTACTTTTATAAATTTGATAAATACTTTTGTCATTTTTAATGTGAGTGTATGATGATTTGGGTTTAATTTTCATTATTAAATTTTTTTTCTTATCAATTACATCTTCTAAAGTTGTTACTTATATAAATTTCATAAACACTTTTTGTCAAATATCATGATAGAAATATATCACAATTTGAATTTAATTTTCATTGTTAAAATCTTTTTTACCTATCGATATAAATAATTATCAGGTTTATAGATGGTCATAATAAAGTATTAGGTCTCTTCCTCTAGATGAGATGAAAAATTATCGTCAAAAGGTTGGAAGTTTGGAGCTTAAAAAGAGTTGAGTTGGGAGTTATGACTTTTGAATTCAATCACACCATTGCATAGCCATAAACATATCATGTATTAAGCTTTTCAACATTATTGATAGGACAACATGGCATAAAGGAAGGTTAAGTTGGGTAAAAGAATAGTAAAATGAAACTTACACAATCCTTAATGGTAGATGTAGGCCAAATATCACGATCCTCTCATCACTAGAAGCATGGAAGTATGAATATTAGTATCACGAAACATCAAATCAATATATATATAATCTATTGAATAGGGTTTAGGGTCAAAATATAGCACATATTCCATACAAGCTGTTACCACTACACGCAATAAATTCTTGAGTGACTAAATGTCAAATATTCAATCAACTATTAATGTTATTTCATTATTAACTATAAGTCTGAAAAATTTTATATTAAAAATAATTTTGAAATGCAAAAGCTTAACACAATTACTCGTTTTCAATGGACACAAATAAACTACACTGTTTAACACTTGGTATGACTTTTCCGAATGGCAAGGCCATCAACACATAACCACTTAAAATTGAAATGGCAGGGCCATCAACAAACAAGCGTCCCACCCCTGCCTCATCATTGAATGCTGAAGCCTTTGAAACCATTTTGAGTTCTTTTGGGTTAGTTTAACAATGCATTTATTGTAAATCAGTTGTGTTGATTCATGCATGTTTGATGGTTAGTAAAAAAATAGTTTGTTTACAAGGCTATAGAAGTTAATGTTGTAATGCTGGCATAAGAAACCAACATGAAACTAATTCCAAGATAATACTTTTTTTTGCTACATGTAAAAAAAATGGTTGTCATTACGTAGATACATGTATAAATGATTTTATGGTTGATTTTGTAGGATGCAAATAAACTATTACTATTTCAAAAAACTATTCAAGCCATATACTCAGTAACAAAAGTCATTTATAACATGACTTAGGTTTTCCATGAAACATTTTATAATTTCTTATTTATTGAGCAACCTAAATCATATATATCATGATTTTTTTTGTTACATCCTTTATTTATAGGGTGTTAATGATCGTCTGGATAAAGTGGAGAAAAAACAAAATGAAATAGATAAAAAGCTTACAAAGATTAAGTCTCAAATTAACATTAGAAGAGACATAACTATGAGTGCAATTTCTTGCTCAATGAATGTTCAACCAAATTGTCCAATATTATCAAGTACAAACCCAAATAGTGGAGTAAACACCACACCTAAGCGAGTATACATAATTCTTCTCCAATGACAAACCAATCCCAACGGAAGTTTGTGAATCCCTCACACATTCTCAATCAAGTTGATACAAGACCAAGTAAACGTAAGATCATTGGTAAAAATATTTTGAGCAATAACAATATAGCTGGATATTCATCTTCAAACAAAAGGAATGCAATTGAAGTGGAAGTTGATCATCGTCAGTCAAACCAACCAACCAACTTCAATGAAAATGGTAGTTTTTCCATTCAACTGAAATGAAAAGTCGTATACACTTTACTTTACATTTAATTTATACTACATTCAATTAGTTGTGAATGAAATTAGTTTTTCCATTTCATTGAAACTACAATTTTTTTTATATATTTTGGCCAACAATTAATGAAGCGTCAATGGAATCACCTTTGCCATCAAATGTGTATAAAAACTTAACATTTAGTAAGTCACCTACACCAAGGAGTGTTAAAATACCAAACATATCAACTGAGTTAGCATAAAATGCAAAAAAGGTAGTTCAACAACCAAATAACACAAATGTGCAAGATAATCCATCAAGTGATGATGAGTTAGATGACATCATTGCTATAGGCCATATTTTGCCACAATTAACCATTTAAACATTTTTACTTATTTATTGTTTAAACACCTCTAACACATGTCTATTGTAGAAAATAGACTCAATTTTTAGGCCTACCCAAGACATGGCATTAACACAAGATCAATTATTACTATGCACATATATATTTTACCTTGACTATAAACTCAGGTGAGCATATTGGAAACGCCTTGATACTATATTAAATGACTACAACTTAAATTTATGAAATTTTAATTTTTACTTAACGTTTGTTTTTTTTAGTGAGGTACTACTAAAAATGATATACATAGAGGCAACAAGACAAAAACTAAAATATTTAAGTCCTGAAAATAAAATCAAACGTTAGGTATATGTGACATTTATATATTTAACAATGTTTAATCATCTACAATAATACTCATTACACTTTATACTCTCTAACATGATTAGGTTGTTAGTTAGATGTCAATCAAGATCATTGATATGCAAGACAAGATTAGTGAGCAAACCATTTGGTCTTTTCCTCCAAAATTTGTGGTAATTTCTTAAGAATATGCTTAAGAATATGATGAAACATTTTTTTCATCATAGTATATGTGTGAAGTATTTGAAAATTTATTAATGATTAAAATTTGTTAAATAAATCTTAAATCCGTTTATTTATTATGACTTTGTCATTTTTTTTATCTTTCTATTTAACTAACCTACATTATTATTATTTTTCTAGCATTTTTTTTACGTCGACAATCCAATAACGTTAAGTTTTGTTCTCTCACTAACAATATTCCTAATTTGTAAGTATTAGCATAGAACTTTTAGACCAAAATAGTGTAATTTAAATTAAAAACTATTAAAATAGTGCAATTATAAAAATGAGATAACATGTATTATCAACATTTTATTTATTAGTTGTTCTTGTTTACTACACGTTATAACATGTATCAAAATGGTCATATTTACATTAAGCTATCATTGTAGGAGCCACAATTGAAGATCTATTGGAAATAATGCCAAACAGTGAATGAAACCATATAAAAATTAAAACATGTATACTATATTCCATACTTGTTTCACATAAAATACTAAATTGTTAATTTAAACTAGTTTTGTTTTACACCTTTAATAAAATGTTGTGCTTCTCATAAATATATGTGCCAATTGAGGAGTATAACGGACATTGATATTTAATGGTTCTTAACTTAGAAGACAATTTAATATAGCATTTTTGGATTCTTATCTGAAGGAGGAAAAAACTTGCCATAAACGTGACAACATGATGCAAATTATATGTCACAATTAACTCCAACTATATCAACCATGCCAAGTTCACTATGAATTTGTTACATACTTTTTTCTCTTTCAGTCCAATGTCATAATATAAATGATGGAATCAAGTTTTTATCCTGATGATTTTCTTAAAGAATTAGTACATCGAAAAAGCTGAAATATTTTGCAAGGAAGAGGAGTTCCAAATTGTGGTGATAGGTAACAAATAATATTTTTTTTGTTTTAATTTATGTATTGATAATCAATTTTATATTGACTAAAATATTTTTTAATGGTGATAACAGTAATAACTCTATTATTGGGGTTTTACAAGGAATGGATATGGAATATACATTTCAACCAAACTTAACCAAAGTGGTGAGCAAATAATGTAATCCATTTCAAATTAGATTATATTTTACTTTTATATATTAATTTATGTGAAACAATGTCACATTCACACCCTTGATGAAGAAACTGTTCAAATGAAAATTGCATTAGATTTGATTTCCAATGATCATAATGAATATAAACAAGTCATCTAGATTAGAGCTACAAAATTTTGTCAAAATATTAGACTTTCATAATTTCAATTAAGACAAACAAGTTGATGAATGCACCTACAGGTTTAAGATCAATATAATGGGCTAGACATTTTTTTATCCTTATTTTGGATACAAAAATTACAATGAGTTGGGCTGAATATGTTTTGCTTCTTTATTTTGAATATTTTTTGCTTCCTTATACAATCATAATACTTTAAAGATCAAATTTGCACAATTAATTTTATCTTTATTTATTTATTTATATTTTTAAAATTTTATCATATTAAAAATTATTAAAATATTTATAAATAATGAGAATGAAAAAAGATTATTTTGACAAAATTAAAAAATAAGATAAAAAATAATGAAAGAGATTTAATATGTGACACCCTAATTTTTTTGGATAAATAAAAAGATTTAATAATTTTGTGTTATGAACTTAAAAACTTTTATATTTTCAACTAATTAAAAATATATGTGGATATGATTTTAAGATAATAATTGTAAAAGTTAATAATCTTATTATATGACATTTTTTAATTTTTTAATAATTTTAAATTATTTTCTCAAATAATTTTATTGATGTATAATTTATTTTTTAAAATAAAAAAAGAAAAATGTCAAATCAAAGAGAATATAAAAAAATATCATGTAAACATATGGAACTTCATATTCAGCTCAACATCACACATTATTGAATCATCAACCTAATATCACACAATTTGATCTTTAACCACACGAAAGCTTGGAACTACAAACCAACTCTCACAAAATCCTTTTATCGTGATTGCTTAAGTCAACACAAAAGAATCCAACATCAACATTAATTTAATACAATCACCAAATCACACATCATAATCATTATGTTTCTTTTATCAGCCAACAATTCCATTAACAACATTTTATAACGAGTTTAAAACTTTAATTTTAACTTGTATTTTGCATTAAAAACAAAAGATAAATTAAAATTAATGAATACTACTATTTAAAAAGTTTAATTATTTTAAATATGTCAGGGGGATTGCGTGGTTAGCTAATATTTTATCCCTAGTAAAAATGCATTAACATGTAACTATTGTTTTATTTTTTTTTATAATTTATTAAAATTTTGATTTGAGAAAAGATTCATGATATATACACTTTTTTTTAATATAGGTATATTTTATTATTATTTTTTAAAAAACTATAAAATATCCTTAATCTTTTTTTTTTTTAATTTTTAATTTTTTGATTTTATTAAAATTTTTTGATTTCTTATTCTTTTTCACACATCTCATTTTTTTTTTCTCACATGAATCATCTTGTCTTTCTTTAATTTTTCACTTATTTCAATAGGTGATTTTAGTTCTCTTGATTTTTATATTATTTTCATCTTCCCTCAACTCTTTCACCTTTTCATATGCTCTCAAATCATAGAATTGGTGCGTGACAACTTCGTTGACAATTTCTATTGAACTATATGCATTTCTTTTCCTCTAATACTTCATTTCCTTTCACACCTTCAAAAATCTTAACATTAAATTCAGTATTATGAAAAAAGATATTCTGGAACACTAATTTCACTATTTTGAAGAAAGTTTCGAGTTTATGAAATTAATATTCCAGAAAGTATTTTCTGAAATTGTGTTATTTTAAATACTTTTGAAAATTACTTTTCAAAACACTAAATTAACTCTTATAGATTTTTTTTAAAATTATGTAACATAACACACTTTCGTTAAGTGTTTTTCGAAATAATAAAACTAATGTTCTGGAAAGTACTTTTTGAAAGTATATTGTTTTACATAAATTCGGAAAGTACTTTCTGAAATACTAAATTCATTGTTCTAGAAAGATTTTTTTTTCTCCGAATTATGTAAATATAATACACTTTTGAAAAATGCTTTGCAAAATAGTAAAATTAATATTCCGAAAAATACTTTTCGAAAATATAACATAATTTCATAAAGTACTTTTCAGAATTTTAAATTTACTATTCTAGGAAGTGCTTCTAGAAAGTAAATATGTTAAAAATCCAATTTCAAAAAATGATTTTAGGAAGACTAATTTTACTATTTCATAAATTACTTTTTGAAAGACTAAAATTATTTGATGTGTTTTCTAAATGTGTAAATAAGGGAAGTATTCAAAGAAAAAATGTGTACTTTCGACACTATTAAGAAAATTACATACATCTATAATATTGTCAAAAATTTGTTATACGTTCTGGATACTTATGAAAACTAAAAGAAAGGAAAAAGAAGATAATAGTGAAAAAATTAAAAGAGGAGAAAGAAAGAAAATAATTTAAAAAGAGGGAAGTAAGTGTGTAAAAAAAAATAAAAAAATACTAAATTAAATGTTGAGAGTGTAAAACTAAAAATTATAAAAATTAAAGATATTTTAAAAATTTAATTATTATTTTTAAGAAAAAGGGGTGTAGTTATAAAAATAGGAGGTGTACATTTCATGGGTTGAGATGATGACTTAGTTATGGCCCATTAAAAGAAAGAGGGATATGGGTTGGGCGAGGCCCAAGTAGCACAGAAAGAGGTGAGAGATTGAGAAGAGTGTAGGAAGCAGAGGCAGAGAAGAGAGAAGAGAGAAGAGAGAAGAGAGAAGAGAGCAGCATCGGAATTGGATCTGAAAAATGGGTGGAGGAATGGAAGCAAACAAGAACAAGTTCATAGAGGATTGGGGCACTGCCAGAGAGAATCTCGAATTCAATTTCCGTTGGACTCGCCGCAACCTCGCTCTTGTCGGCATCTTCGGCGTCGCCATTCCCCTAATCGTCTACAAAGGCATCGTTCGAGAATTCGTAAGTCCCTTTTCTTTTCATTTACGCTTTACATCATTCTCTATCACGATTTCCACTGCTACCACTATTTCTAATTCATCAACACAATTTAGGGTTTTAGGATCCAAACGTCTGCTCTTATGCTCAAATATGTCTTTCATTTCTTTCTCACATTTTTTTTTATATAATTTTAAAATCAATTTCACACCATCGACTTTTGAAAACTGTTTCTAAAACGTGTGTTTTAAAAACTGAAAAACGGACTTTCAATTCTACCAATATCAATTACAATGCTATGGTGAAGGAGATTTTCAAAATTTCACCATGATTTTAGGGGTTAGAATTCATTCTAGGAGATATCCAAACACACTATTATCATCTTGTTTAACCTCTCCTTCTATTCAGCACTCGGTTCTGTTGCTTGCAGATGCGGTACCCTCTACCAGCTGTACATGCAACCTTGTTTTGATGCATTTTGAAAACTGAAAACAAATAGAAATCAAACACACCTTAATTCTATGTGCTTAATGCATATTTGGATCCACTATCATGCATCGGTGGAAGCAATAATTAGTTGCTTTTACTAGTGTGTTTGGTTGCAAGTCCCCAAAATTTGATCACATTCTCCTCGCATAGTGTTGTTGGTTTGAGGGGAATGGAAGAGAGGAGATAAAGGGAGAATTTTTATAAACTTTTTTTGTTTGCTTCAAGTTCAATATCGAGGGGATTTGGAGTTTTCATCTAATTTTAGCCCTTTAATATTGAGAGGACCGGAGTTCTAAAATATTTTTAATATAATATCTAAAATATTTTACTTATGTTTTAAAATTTATAATTATAAAAGTACAAAAGTGAAATTGGTTTGAATGTTGCAAGAAAAGAGCCACCCCTCTTCCATTAAAATCCCTCCCCTCTCAAGTCTCAACCAAACAAAATTTTTAGTCCCTCCCCTTCCCTTTTCCTCTTTTGAACCAAACATACTCTACTAGCAACTAGCTTCTACGTTTGTTTTGGGTCTTTTACGTGGAAATAAGTCATAACGTGCATATTTAATGGGTAACCAGAGACATGCTGCTTCAATTTTGATGTGATTCTGATTTAAATGTGGATCTTGGAGTTGGATGTGCAACCAAACATGCCTTAATCGATTGCATTATTTGAATTGCCATGAAGTTTGAGATGGATCATGGGTGCATACAAATATTGTTATGGGTAGAGTTTAGTTGAACTTGTTTTGTCCTCTCACATGATTTATCATATCAAATTTTACTGTATTGTTTCCATAGGCTGCGCTTGGCTCTGTTTGATCCTTCTGTTGTAATCTGCTTTTAATTATGTTAGTAGGACATCTACGACGTGATATGGTTCTCAATTTTTCTTTGAACCTTTTTTTTTTGGGTGTACATATGAATGCTTTTCTTTGCAGTTAACCATATAATTTAGTGAATATTTGAACTGTTATGGTTACAGCATATGCAAGATGAAGATAATGGTAGACCGTACAGGAAGTTCCTGTGAGAATATGGAGGGTGCTTTGTAATAAGGGGTTATATAAGTTAGACCTTGATATGATATGAGGCTACAAATGTGTATTTTCCTTAATTCGCAAGGGATTGTTTGCTTTAAAGTACTGTAGACCTTTCAAACTAATCCATGTTTGGCTGTTTTCATTGACATTTGTGTTATGCTGTTAACTTGTTACCATTTCTATGGTTCAAAATTAATAATATTTGTTCAAAATAAAAAGTAAACATGATGGGTGTCCAAGGAACAAATTTTAAATCTTATTTTCTGGAAAATAAATTTTAGAGTAAAGTAGAAACTAAAATTTGAGTGGGAAGGGTTTTTTGTCCAAAATATTTGTTTATTTTATTAAATTAAAACAATAAAATAAAAGGAGAGGGTTTGAGTAGAGGGTTTGAGTGGGAACTAAATTGATAGAAAATTATAATTAAAACAAAATTTGATGGAATTCAATATCTAAAAGCTCTAGCCTATGGTGTAATTTGTTTTAGTTTTCAAAAGTGGACATTGGATCGGATTTTTTATTTTGTAATAAATTAGTTACAGTTATTGATAAGATCTTTATAATCACTCTCTCTCTAAATTACACATTTACACCTAGGTGTCAAATATAAATGATCATGTATGGAAAGGTATTCCTTAAATTAAAATTATTTTATAGTTATTGTATTAGCAATAAATTTGTTTTTCTATTGTGCAATTTGACAAAATTCATTGTACAACTTATAGTAATTTAGCATATTATTTTTTGCCACTACGAATGTTAGTACTTGGTTTAGTAGCTACCAAATTTATCGATATCACCGAGTACAAATACAAGTCAGTAGTCAATCCTTCTAGTATTTATTTTTTTAGGTTTTTTCTTCCACTACAACAAAATGTTAGATCATCGGATATTATATTTTAGAGTCAGTTATTGGTTACAAAAATATTTAAATGATCATTGATTGATCCTGGCAACCAAAAATAATCAATCTTTCTTTAGTCTAATATTGTCACTATAAAATTGATCTGATTGCAGTACATATCATAAAAATTAAATTTATTTATATTCTATACATATAAAGTAAAATTATTTCTGGAATGGAAGAGTTTTTAATAGCCATCATTGAAAAAGTGATTGGTTAAAGTATACTTTTAATTCTTTTATAATAGTAAATTTATAATTTTGGTCCTTTTTTTATTGATTTTTTCAACTCAGAAAATATAAATATTTTTTGGCTAAAATTTTAACTTAGTAAATATAAATATTAATTGATAATTTTATTTCATATAACTAAAATTTAACATAAATATTTTAAATAATAAATTATATATTATATTTGTAATAAATCATTTATATCATAATTTTAAATTGATTTTAATTATTGATACTTTTTGATAAATATTGAAATTAAATTTAAATACTAATAAAAATAGATAAATAAAAAGATATAAGAAGTTGAGAACTTTTAAAAATCATTTTCACTAGTATCTTAAACTGTGAAATGAACATACATATTTATTATACATAATTAAAATTTCATATGAACAAATATTACATTTGAACATATACATTTAATTTAAAAATAATATGCATAAATATTTTAAATATATAAACTACATTTTAAATTTATCATAAATAATTTGTATTATAATAAAAATTTGTTTTTATTTATTAATAAATTATTTTAAAATATTAATATTTAATTCATAATAATTATGATGAATATAAATTGAATTAGAAAAGAAGTTAAAAAAATTTATACAAACACTATCAATTTCTTTAAAAATGCGTTTTCACATAAGATAAAGATTCATGTGTAATATATAAGACGTCATTAAAGAAAACTCTTTAAAAACATTTTTATGTTAGAAAAATCTTTAAAAAAATTATTGTTCAAGAAAATATTTTATTATATATATAATTTTGAATGATAATAATTTTACATTAATATTGATATATATATATATATATGTATATATAAATAATAATTTTAAAATAAAGAAAAATTAAAACCTCAATAATTTTGAATTGAAAGGAATTTTTCTATTAAAAAATATGATGGACATTATTTTTGTTTTAATAACAATTCTTATAAAGCAATACTAAAAGAGTCCTATTACGTATACATGAATGAAGACATTTTTATTTGTAAATGACTGATTATTGCTCCGATTCTTTCGCTGTTTCATTATCCATTTGTTCTAATTAATTAGTAGTATATATTTAAACAGTTGCAGTCATACCCTATAACTACGCCAGCTGGTTGTTTATGATCATACCATTATTTTTTGGAAGTACTAAATATGTTCTCAATAATACATTAAGTTACTAAGATCGTGATATAGTCAAATAATAACAATATATAAGAACAATAATGGCACTGTAATAATGAACGATTATTAAAGTGCTTAGTCTGACATGAAAACATACATTGAGCAAGAAAGCCTTTGTTTTCTTCATTGGCGGGGGTAGTTGCTAAATTAAATATGAAAATAGTCATGCTTGTTTTTATAAAAGAAGAGATTTTCTATAATAATTGTGGACTACTTTCTTTTAGGATTTGTTGATTTATGTTTCTTGGATTTTGGCAAAATCTTCCTATATTTTACTTGTATGTTTTTTTTATTTCTTTTAGGTTTTGTTGATTTATGTTTCTCGGATTTTGGCAAAATCTTCCTATATTTTACTTGTATGTTTTATTTATTTATTTATGGATGCATGTATGTATTGGAGTATGTGGCAAATAATTGTTAGACTTTGATATATACCTTATTAAAATGTGATAGTTCTATAATAATGTTTTTGTAATTAATAAAGATCGCATGATAGTATGAATTAAAATAATAACTCCAAATTTTAGAGAGAGAAAAAATAAAAAATATTTTCTTATGAAGATTAAAATTAAAATTTGTTTATTTTACAAAATTTAAATATATATTTAAGTCTAATATATGAGAAATTTTTTAATTAATAATACATTGATATATAAATTTTAGCATTATTTATAATTAAATAATAGAATTAAACAAATATGAAATTAAAGTTAATATATATTTTAAAATAAATTATAATATAAATATATTTTTCTTGTTAAGTAAAATGTTATTAACTAAGTCAAAGAAATCTTCCTAATAATACACAAGTGTTTTAAAGTTTATAAATTTTAAGATAATATAGAATATCGTACAAGAATTACCATGACTTGAAGCACAACCTAAATAGTTTATGAAACGCATAACGGCATAAGGTCTAACTAATAGAAATCCGTTTTTTTTAACGAAAATATAAAAATACGGGTTTCAAAGCACCAAAATACAAAATAACTTTTTTTTATCTTCTCTGTTGAACGTAAATTTACAAGATTTTAACAATAAATCAAATATACACTTAGTAATTTCAAGAATTAGATCTCCTCAAAATTAGGTCAATTTAAACCCTACGGATCGAGATCAATTCCTTTATAAACACATATCATAAAAGAAATAGTAAAATGAATTATTATTATTTTTTAAATCAATATATAACTTCAACCTTTATATAAACTTTCACATCAAATGTTACTTTATTCTTTGTTATCGGTTTTTAGATATTGTATCATGAATCTTGTCTATGAAAAAAAATATAAGCTCTCATTTATTTAAAAATTTGGTGTTAATCAAGTATATTTTAATTTTTGGAAGAAGAGTTTGGTAATTTTGCTTTTTCTTCTCTTTTTTTTCTTTCTTCTTTTATAAGTTTTTATATGAAGCTGATTGATATTTTTTTGTAAATATATAGAACTATATAGCAGAATAATGAGACAACTTTTGAAGATACTTATAAAGTCATATAGGAAAGTTAAAAAAAAACCAAAAAAAAAAGATGTTGAATTGTTTTTTCAATTATTTTTGTAAATATTTTTAAAAATACACTTTGAAATGAGAGTAAAACGTAGTATTTTGCAAATCTTAACAATTTATATTAGACACATCAATTGGAAGAAAAAGAGAGAGGGTGAGAGAGCTGCAATACATTCTTTTAAACACATTTATTATTAATTAAAATGTATAATTATTCCCTAATGACTCTACACTAATTTTGTATTTTCTAAATAAATTTTAACAAATAACAAAAAAGTGTGTTACGACTCTTTCTTACTTTGAATATCGACACGAAGGAAGAATCATACTCGTAGATGGAGTATAATGCGGGAACATGACTGGTTGGAAGAAGTCAAATCGATCAAATAATTATTAATAACTACCATAATCATTTCTTTAAGATCAATCAGTATCATTATTTATTCACACCCTCGTCATATATATAAAAGTTCAGCCACCCCTGCCCCTTCCTTTTTTTATAGATACGAGGTTAGTTAGTTTTATAAAATACTTTTATTAAGAATACTAGGACACTCTTCTACGGATACTTCTTTTAATATAAGCCGAAGGTTATTAAAAATTACAAATTTTATTAGTTTTATATTTATTTATTAAGTATCTTTTTTATGTTTCATTAAAAAAATATTTTCAATTAATACTGACTGAATTTTAACAATTAAAGAAAATGAGTCAGTTTAAATGCAAATTATATAGAAGTACTTTTCTATTAAAAATAAAAAATATTTTTAAATAGATAAGTTGCCAAAAGCTTATTCACAAATGTTCCTTGTCATTAAAACCTAGTACAAGGCTATAAAACCTAGTACAAGGCTGTGAGTACTTCAACCAAACACAATGATGAACAGTTTTACAAGTTTCGCTAAAAGACAACATCGTTTTTGTAGTGTTTTCTTAAACAACCTTGGATTCTTGGCCTGTTTTGTGGCCCTCAATTTCCACCCCTTCTTTCTTCAACTTTTTTATTTCCTCATCCTTTCTCTGCTTGGTTACCTCGGTCTCAAGGTCTCAAAGCCAAGGACCCATGTTAGACCAAATGACTTGGATCTAGTTTACACCTCCGTTTCTGCTTCCACTGCTTCTAGCATGGTTGCCCTAGAAATGGAGATTTTCTCCAACTCCCAACTCATTCTCCTCACCCTTCTCATGTTTCTTGGTGGGGAAGTTTTCACTTCCATGCTCGACCTTTTACTTGCTAGGTATAAATTCACCCACATGAGTGTCCTAAACAGATCTAGTGCTAGCATCAATCCTTTTTCACCCACAAATGAGTCCCCAGTCAATGCCGATCGAGTTGAGCTTGGTTTAGTGTCTATTCCCCGCTCAGAATCAGAAGACCACCAACCAAGTCATAGTAATTATATTAACGTTTCAAATGATAGACTTAAGAATAAATGTCTTGGTTATCTCACTTTGGTGGTTTTAGGTTACCTTTTGCTGGTTCAATTTGTTGGATTTAGTTTGGTGTCTGTGTACATAACTTCGGTACCTAGTGCTAGACAAGTACTAAAAAACAAAGGCATTAAAATTGCAACATTTTCTTTGTTTACCGTAGTCTCCACTTTTGCTAGTTGTGGTTTTGTCCCCACCAACGAGAACATGATAATTTTCAAGAACAATTCGGGGCTTCTCCTCCTTATCCTCCCACATGTCTTTCTAGGTAACACCCTTTACCCACCGTGTTTGAGGCTTGTGATAATGCTTCTCAAAAAGGTTTCTAAAAGAGAGGAATTCTCATACTTGCTCAAGAATTCCAAGGACATGCATTTGCTCCCTGCTGTTCATTGCTGCCTCCTGGTTGCAACTGTCTTGGGTTTGAATCTCATACAATTTGTCATGTTCTGCTCCATCGAATGGAACTCCAAAATCATGGAGGGTTCCAATGTGTATCAGAAACTGGTTGCGTCAATATTTCAAGTTACAAACACCAGACACGCTGGTGAATCTGTTTTTGATCTCTCTTCAATGTCTTCAGCCATATTGCTACTATTCATTGTCATGATGTAAGTCACTACTCACTCTCTCATTTCTTTTTATTTTATAAATGAGAGATGAAAAATATATTTAATTTAATAGTATAAATAATATGACAAAATAAAGAAAAAGTATTTTGAAAACAACTATTAACTGATGTTTACAGTTTCTCTCATTATCATCTTTCTCTTTCTTATCTGTCTTTTTTTTTTTTTTTTAAAATAA